GGACTGAGTGAAGGGCCTTCCCTGAAGATCTCAGAGCCAGTGCAGGTTGGGGGGGTGGGGCGGGGGTTATACAGTTATTCAGATAGGCACGGTGGGTTTAACTCGTTATTGATAAAGGTGTACAGTATTGATCAATAATTCCCCTTGCTTTGAAAAACTGCAAGTTAAAACTAGCTTATTCGTCTTCCTTAACTCTTGTGTTCTGGGATTGTTGTGGTTTCTCCTTACCTTCCTTTTCTACACAGCCACACACACACACACACACCCGCCTTCCTGCAGCCCAATTTTCAATGATGCAATGGCTGGTTATCTGCCGCTACACTTAAGAGACAGTCAGTGAATCCAGGAGAGTCAAAACTGCTCACCCCTGATCTAAAGAGCACATAAGTGGGGAAAATCTTGTCTGAATATTATTTTTTTATTCCTTCCCCTTTTGCCACTTGTGCTCTGACCCAACCAGGAAGAAGTTCCTCTATGGGGAACTGAGGCATTTCACAGCTTGCATCAGTGCATCCTTGTTCTCCAGCTCAGACTTTTCCTCATTTTATCCTTTCCCCCTCTCCTCCCACTCCGCGCCATCGCACTGCTCCAACTGCTGACTGTGGTGAAATCCCTGCGGTTAATTGGATCAGGGTCAGTGTTTTCCAGAGGAATATTAAGTCGGGTCCACAGCTTCAGCCTGGAGCCATGCAGAAACTTTGCAGTATGTGGCCCTGGAAGCTATCACACTGCCAGATACACACAGGTCCAAACCAAGCTTTTATTCCATGCAAGATTTAGAAAAAGGTGCATGGCAGAGTTGCAAACCCTAATCAGCATCGTCACTGATATCTGCAACAGGGTAAAAATAATAAAACACCAGACAACTCCCACCTGATGGCCTGATGATGATCAACTCTGGGAAAACAGAGATATGTTTTTACGCTGGCGACACCAATGTTGCATAACGTTCTTCCTGCTGGAATGTGAGCGGCCCCATTCCTTCCACCAGCTGTTGAGGACACACCTGTTTAGACAAGCGTTCCACTGGATCTCCTGGCCTGAACCTCCTGTTTTAACTGCTGTTTTGCTTGTTAATGGACATAAAGAGTATAAGAAGAGCCTCACGGCTGGATCTAGCCCAAAAGTGGCCGGCCGGATGCCTGCTTCAGTGGGCTTGTTTTATGACACATTTCAATAGGTTGGTGTTTCTTTTAATGTTTGGATTAAATTGTCCTATTGTGCATTTTAATTAATTAATTGCTACAATGCACTCTGTGTGGCGATAACCTTGCATTTGATCTGGAAGCTGCAGAATGATCTGGTCAGTGCAGAATGCTGCACCACAATTGTTGACAGGAGCGAGGCCTTGTCAGCGTGCACCACCCATGCTCAGAGATCTGCACTGGTTGCTGATTTACTACTGGGCCAAGTTCAAGGTGTTACTATTAGTATATAAAGTCCTTAACAGCTTGGGTCCAGCTTACCTGTGAGATCATCTTACCCCCACATGTGCCTGCTTCCGTCAGCGGAATTGGCACTACCACCACACATGCCACATAATACCCATTCTGCATTTGTAAGAAATGGGGGGGGGGGGTTAGTGTGGCAGTACCTACCCTTTGGAACTCCCTGCCTATTGACATCAGGTAGACATCTCCACTGTACTCTTTTCAGCACTTGCTAAGAACATTTTTGTTTAGGTAAGCCTACTGATATATGTTTCTGTCATTTCCGTGCTCTGGTTCACCAGAAGCAGCTTAGTCATGCTGGCCACATGACCCGGAAGCTGTACACCGGCTCCCTCAGCCAATAAAGCGAGATGAGCGCCGCAACCCCAGAGTCGGCCACGACTGGACCTAATGGTCAGGGGTCTCTTTTCCTTTACCTTACCGAGATATCTAGAAGGTCGATGTGTGATTTAATCTTTTCTGATTTTTTAACTATTTTAAATCTGTTTTTGCTGGTGTTTTTATTGCTTTATTGTGCCTGCCTGTTATCAATAGGCAGGGAGTTCTATAGCACAGGTGCTGCCACACTAAAAGATTGATTACTTACAAACTTGGAAATAAGGATTATGTGGCACCTGTAACAGGGTCAGTTCTGAAGATCGAAGCAGTTACATGGGCATGTGTGGGGTAAGGCAATCTTGCAAAGTAAACTGGCCTCCAGGTGTTATGGGCTAGTATGTCATTGCTTACTATAATTCCCAGGGAAATTACTTTGTGAAAAGGGGTGGGATGGGGAATAGGAATCTCCATAAGAATACGGTAGCAATGAAGTGATCAAATTTAGAGGGAGCTGGTTGGTGCAATAATGTGATGGAAATAATTGAAGTTGGTTGTAGCAATATTGGGAAGGAGTTAGGGAGAAGCTTGGCAGTGCAATAACAGGATGGAACTTGCAGGGAGATGTGTGTGAGTGAGACAGAGAGAGAGAATATAAAGTGCAGTCATTCTTTTTCTTTTCTTTTTTGTCCTAACCCCCGCACCCCCAATCAACTGGATTTTCCTTCCGCTTTGCTCAAACTGAGCTGCCAATCCAACAGGTGTATGTTGAATTACTTAATGGGGAGGGGCAGAGGGTAATTGAATGGTGACAGGAGAGATAATTTAACTAATGACTTGTAATGGGATACAGAGCCTTTCACCTTTAGTTCATCGGTTTGACTCTTTCCTAGGCTGATGGGAGCCATCTGTTTACATCGAAGGCCTGCTCAAGTAGATGCCTGTGTTCATTGATCTGTCAACAGCCATGGGTGGGGGTCCTATCAGAAGTGGCTCTACTACAGGATGGTGGGGGACAAGCTCAAATGGCTGCATCCACTGATGGTGGTTGGGGGCATCAAGGGCAGCAGAGTGGCAGGTGGGCAGGTTAGGCTTCCATTGAAATGAACAGGAGCTCTCAGTGAGAGCCATAGAATATAACTCCTAGGTGTATTGTATCTAATTTTAGAAGTCGAGAGTGGCAGGAATCCATCTGGGAGGGGAACAGGGGGTCTCCAAGCAACTCTCAACACCCTTAACAAACTACATTTCCCAGGATTCTCTGGAGGGGGTGCTGTGTGCTTTAAATGTATGGTCCAAACGTAACCTCATCCTGTGTCCTGCCAAATCTGGTGATGGTATCTCAGGTGATGGTCAAGACTTTTCTCTCACTTAACATATGCAGATGTTATTCTAATTCATGTCTACTCTGGGGTGATTTGTAAAGGGATGGCCTCCACCCACATACAGACCTTACAGAGAGACACAGGCAGAAACTGATAGCAAATCAGAGGAAGGAAACCTCAAGTCAAGGCAGGAAACAGATCCTTGGGCCATATGCCAAGCGTCACAACAATTCCCTTCCTACCCTCATGGCATTGCAGGGGGTTGGACTAGATAGCCCTTAAGGCCCCTTCCACAATGATAAAATTCTACAATTTTAAAACTCCACAATTATAAAGATTCTATGATTCATCCTAGGGGTCAGCTAGTCCCAATTCCACCCTTAAGCTATCAGATCGGAGGATGTCAGGATGAGTCTTGTTAGCAGTTGAGGTTGCCTCGGATTACATTAGCAAGCCCATTAAGGGGTCTTATGGAGGGACCCCAGCTGGACAATTTAAGGGAGGTTTCTCCATAGCAGGGTGACAGTGTTGACTGTATCATGTAGGAAGTGTCAGGTTGAGCAGCCAGCTGGCTCAGTACTTAGAAAAGTTTGCTTGAGGTAGAGTCAGCCTCATCCGGTTCATCCCAGTATGGTCTGGGGGATTGTGCAGGCTCTAAAGCTCTGCCTGAACCTGCTGGTACCAGCAGTTCAGATCTGCCTTTGGAAGATATTCAGTTCAGGGGTGACAAAAGGAAGGGATTAGCCCAGGAAGCTGTTCTATCCTGAGTCAGACTGCTGGTCCAGCTAGCTCAGGATTGTCTGAGGTTGAGGACAGAGGAAATGGTGATTCTTCCTGAAGTTGTTAGACTCCAGCTTCCATCAGCCCCAGCCACCATTGGCAATAGTCAACAATTATGGGAGTTGTGGCACAACAGCATCTATAATCTACCCAGCCCTGCACCACACTGACAGGCAGCTGCTCCCCAGGTTTTCCAGCATGGATCCATCCCAGCACTAAGTGGAGATGGGCCTAGGATAGGCTTTGAAAGGGCACTCCCTCCTGCCACCAGGAGGCAGTCATTCCTTCAGGCTGCCCCTATGGGAGAAAAGGGGAGCTAGCCTCGTTCCACCAGCTTTGCCAAACGACCAGCTACATCAGGCACCACCTCCTACAGAACTGTTTAATTTTAGTTTGTTTGCTAATTTTCTTCAACTGAGGATCACAGGGCATTTTACAATCTAAAAACACAAAGATACATAACATAGTAACACACACACACACAGGCACACACACACACACACACACACACAGTCGAAAAGGTCATAGATTGTTTAATTCGCCAAAGGCCTGGAAGAAGAGGAATGTTTTTGCATGGCACCTAAAGATATGTTGTGAAGGTACTGAGCAGGCCTCCTTGGGAACAGCATTCCACAGACAGGGAGCCACTGCAGAAAAGGCCCGTTCTCATGTTGCCACCCTCTGGACTTCTTGCAGAGGAGGCACACAAAGAAGGGCCTCAGAAGATGATTGCAGTCCAGGTTGGTTCATATGGGAAAAGGTGGGCTTGAGGTACTGTAGTCCTGAGCCATTTAAGGCTTTATAGGTCAAAACCAGCACTTTGAATTGGGCTTGGAAATTAATTTTCAGTCAGGCCAGGAATGGAATTATATGTTCAAATCATCTTGCTCTGGTTAACAACCTGGCTAGCAAATTCTGCACCAGCTGAAGTTCTTGAACCATCTTCAGTGGCAGCACAATGCATAACGTGTTGCAGTAATCTAACCTAGAGGTCACCAGAGCATAGGAAACAGAAATTAGGCTATCCCTGCCCAGATAGGGGCACAGCTTGGCCACCAGCCAAAGCTGATGGAAGCCACTCCATGCCACTGAGGTCAACTGAGTCTCAAGTGACAACAATGAATCCAGAAGGACCCTCAAGCTGCTTACCTGCTCCTTCAGAGGAAGTGTAACCCCATCAAAAACAGGCAACCTCCTGCTTGTTTGGAGGTTCTAGCAGGGGAGCGCAGCTTTCGTATACCCTTGACGGAAGAACGGTACACTCCTTCTATCTGTGATGGTCGTCCTCTTCCACCGAGCGCGCAGCTTCGGGAGGGACGCACATGGAGGAAGGGGACACCCGCCTAGCCAATCAGATCAGCCGAATCAACCCTGGCGATCAATGGGGTGACAGATGTCGCAACCAGATCACCCTCACTCCCAAAGAAACACCCCCTGAAAATGACCATCCACGTATGTCATCTATAACTTGGACAACTGCTCCAATACCAGCTGGTCAATAGAATAACTATTATTATTATTATTATTATTATTATTATTATTATTATTACAAGGTGACATACATAGTTCTCCTCCTCCCTGTTTAGGTTAGCCTGGAAGACCCCTGGGTTACCTTGGGCCGGGGTGTGGCTTTGAACCCAGAGTGGCTGGGGAAACTCAGCCAGATAGGTGGGGTATAAATAAATTATTATTATTATTATTATTATTATTATTATTATTATTAGAACCCTGGTCATCCAAGTCTGAGTCCCACACCTAACCACTACACCTAGAGCTTGCTTTCCCTCTCCTCCCTCCATGTCCCTTTTTCACTTGTGTGTCATGTCTTTTAGGTTGTAAGCCCGCAGACAGGGAACTCTCTTGATTTAGTTGATTGTGCATAAGCTACTCCAGGAGCCTTTTTGGCTGAAGCACAGAGTGCAAATAAAATCAACAACAGCAACTCATGGTAGTTGAGGGGCACTAGGACCTGGATCATTCATAAACTGAGTCCTTCAACAGCAGTAAAAGCAGAGATTCAGGAATCAGACCTGCTCCCTTGTCATTCCCAAAAAGGGCCCTCCAACCTGGATCCTGTACTGAATCAGCACTGTGGACAGCTCCCGTGTCTGACTCCCTCATTAGGCAACATGTGGAGGTGTTGTCTCAGCAAAGAACTGGAGCCACCTTGCCTTATAAAGGTAGGCAAGAAGTGCTTTGTTGCAAGATACTTGTATGCAGCCCAGGTTTCCATCAGATGGTCTTTACCTGCATGCCTGCTCAGCCACCTCTCTCTTCCACCTTCCCTAGGCCTGCTTATCAGCTCACCACCAGCCTCCTGCCTGCCTGGCCACAGAGTAAGCCATTCTCTGCTTACAGTAAGAGGAAAAGCTTCCCACAATCCTCTTGGAGAGAAGCAGGATTGCTTAGCTTGCTTGTCTAGTGGATTATTTTGTTGTTCGTTGGTTTGCAAACCACTTGGCAGAAAACAACATGCCAAATATTTCTTTCTTTTTAACACACACACGTATCAAGCTGGTTTTACATAAAATGATACAGTTTAGGTGAACAGAGCAAGCCATCATGCCTGGTGCCCATTGGGACTGGTAGGGCTGAAAGCCAGGAGCCCAACTGTAGGTGGTAGCAGAGCCAACCTCAGGCAGAGCCGACTATTTCTAGTTTTGTCCCCATCCTCCTCCTCTTCCCTGGTGAGTTCTACAAGGGACAACACTGAGACTATGGAGGGACCTGGCAGGCAGGGCCACCCCCTGGACTGGGCGCACATTGAAGCAGTGCCCCATTCATTCTAATGGACCAGATTCCACCAACTAAGGAAGCTTACAATCCACCACACCCATGGGAAAAAATTATTTGTAATCGCTAAAACAGCCCCCCTCCTTTCCCCTTTCCCACTACTTTCCCCTTTGGCGAAAACCCACCTGCCAAGCCTTAGAAAACCCACTTTAAAACCTTGATCTCACATGCTTTCCCTTTAAGAGCTGGGAAGGCAGCCCAGCCGAGCAGAAAATGGCAAGCAGTGTGTAAATAACGCCTTGAGATTCTCTCTCTTTTTCTTTTTCATATGGGTTTATTTTGTAAACCTGAACTTTACAAATGTCAGGGAATAAGCAAATGCGAGGCCAGGGAATAACTAAATCTCTATTAGAATTCCTTGCGATAACATCCCTTCATATTCTATCTCGGTCTCGGCATGTTACAGATAATCCTAGCTTAGGCAGAGGAGATCTCAGGTACCATTGAACGGGAGAGGTATTTAATTAGCTCTGTCATAAACAAACCTGCCACAATCCCACATGATGCAATGAGGGGAGGGGTGAGGAAACGGTAAAATTGATGCAACTCAGGGATTGATTGACGTGGAGCCAAGAGACTAGTCCCTTGCATGATTATTTGTTGTTGGTTTATCTGCAGTTTTCATGTGGCTCCACCTATTCACACCACCTATTCCAGAATGACTGGTTGATTGCATTTATATCTCACTTTTCTTCCAAGGAGTTCAAGGTGACATACGCAGTTCTCCTCCTGCCCATTTTATCCTCAAAACAACCCTGTGAAGCAGGTCAGGTTGAGAGTCTGTGAGTGGCCCAAGGTCACCCAGTGAGCTTCATAGCCGAGTGGGGATCTGTATTCTGTCAACCTCTTGTATGCCAGGAAATCGTACACCAGAAACCATGGCTAGGACTCCTCCAAGGAAGTGGCACTGAGTTTGGGATGGGCACCTGAGAAATTGCTCACAAACATGGAAGATTCAGGAAGAGGACTAGAAGAGGACTAGACAAATGGGGACAAAGCTAGAATGAGTTGGCTCTGCCTCTCGCTGGCTCTGGCACCACCTGCTGTTGGACTCTCTGCCTCTGATCCTACCATTCCCATTTGGCACCAGCCACCATAGCCACTGAGTTAAATGAGGCTTCCTCCCAATGCAAAGCACTGAAATCTTGTTCATTCTGCCTGCTGCTCCTTTTTATACATGCATGCATGAATCAAATATTTGTTCTATATTTATCACATTTATATGCCACCTTTTTCTCCTCATTTAACCATCACAACAACCCTGTGAGGTAGGTCAGCCTGAGAGGCAGAGCCTGGCCCAAAGCTCTCTGACGCCACCTACTGCTGGGCATCCCGCCTTCAGCCCCAGCAGTTCCCATGGCTATTTTCCACCACCACTGGGAGATACTGAATTAGATCAGGACAGGCTAAGGGTAGGACTAGGCGCTCAGCAGGAAACACACACAAAAAAATCCATCCCTGAGATACAGCAAGCATAGTTGCTGACCAGGGTTGTAAGCACTTTGTACACCACGGGAAGGCCTCCCCGCTCTCCAGGGTACAGTCCCTAAAAACCTTCTGCTCTTTGCGAATGTGCCCTTCCTTGTCACCCTCTTCAGAGCCTTGCACTGAAAAGGAAGGGGGGGGGTAAATTAAAGGTAAGAAAAACTTTTCTAGCCTTTGCTGCAATGCTCTGAGCCGTGCAAAAGCTGGGCTGGTTTTGCAGCAGACAATAGCCTTGGGCCTCAGCTGTCCCCCTGAGGTTCCTGATGCTTTGAACAAGGCAAGGCCTGGCTCTCCGCAGAGCCAGAATAATTTGTGGTTCCTTCAGACTCTTGGCAGTCTCCTTGGAGTTCTGGGGTCAGTGCAAATCTGGGAAGTAAACAAGGTGGGTGAGGGGCAAATACAGGGCAGCTTTTTTGCGGGGGGGGGGGGAGTTAGACCTCTGGGTTTTTAACCAGATAGCACATTATGTATTGAAACAATGGATTAAAACATTAGTACCACCACCACCACCACTACTACTACTACACACAAACACCTTTTTAAAAGGCACTGGAAAATGCCAAACAAAAACTTTTAAGCCACAAGGGTCACTACGCAGGCAGAGCATACATACCCTCTAACATTTCTCTGATGAAAATAGGGACATCCAATTCCATAATGATAATTTTGCTATTTATACCCCTCACTTCTTACTGAGTTGCCCCAGCCACTTTGGGCAGCTTCCAACGTATATAAAAACATAATGAAACATTGAACATTTTTTTAAAAACAAAAAACCCTTCCCTATACAGGATTGCCTTCAGTCGGCTCAGGGGTCAGATAACCCTCCAACATTTCTCCAATGAAAATAGGGACATCCTAAGGAAAAGTGGGACATTCCATGATCAAATTAGGACAGCTTCTCTAAATCAGGGACACCCCTGGAGGGTCTAGCAGAGGTGGGCAGCCTCAGTTCCAGGGGCCAAATGCAGCCTTTCCATCTCTGTTTGGCCCTTTGGAATCTTCCTGAGTTACATTCCTCTGCCCACTCCAGCCACACACCCTTTCCCCAGATCATGATGGAAATGCAACAGCAGAGATCCTGCCATGTGGAAGTGAAGGGTTAATTCTACTAGGGTTACAAGCAAGAAGCCAAAGGAAGACAAGTGGAGATTTTGCTGAGCAGCAAACAGCCTGCTGTTTGCTGAGGTAGCACCTGTCCTGATTGGCTGGGTAGTTCTGAGGGAGTTCTCCTGCCCTCTGTATGCTTGGATGAATGTCTCCCTTCTATGTACAAGGGCTGAACTGAGACAGAACCCCTCTGTTTTTTCTCCCCTCGAGTTATACGCTGCTTTTGTTCAGTTTCCTCAGTAAAGTGTTACCAGCATTTCTCTTCTAAGAGGCCATACCCCTTACTGGCTCTGCTTCATACCATCCTCAGGCATTTTTTGCCTGGGTGGGATGTGCCCTTCAACTCTGATCACACCTCTTGCTTTCCTGAAAGGAAAGAAGAGGCATGATGTAGAAGCTAGCTTTCTGTATAAAGTTTGAACTTACATGTTGCTCTGCCCGATTTAGCCTCTGGCCCTGCCCACCATTGGCATGTGGCCCCCAGAAGGTCACCCAGGAGGGAAGGTGGCCCTCGGGCTGAAAAAAGCTTCTAGGATCTCAGTTGATGGCAGGTGAGGGGAAATTCCTGCTTGAGACTCTCAGTCAGTCAGAGTGGGATATATTGGATTGCATGCACCAGCGGTTTTGGCTGAATGTAAAGTTCCATCTGCATAGCTTATGAGGATGGGATACAGTTCAGTGGTGGTGAGGCTTTAATTAATTTAGTGGCACGTCTGTGCTGCCCAATAGCCAGTCTCCTCTGGGCGAGTTCATAAAACGGAGTTAAAATAAAATAAAACCCTGGAATGCAAGAATATACCTAATAAACCCTAACATAAAAATATAAAGCAAATTAAAACAGCGGCAGAATAAAGCCAACATTCTTGCAGATCTGTTGTCAACCAGAGATGTAGGGATCTGCGTCTGGGGATGCAGCTGCACCGCCCAGTTAAAGCACCTGTAAAGTACATGACTGCCCCCTACAAGGAATCCTAGGAACTGCAGTTTACCCCTCAAGGAGCTACAACGCCCAGCACCCTTAACTAACTACACTTCCCAAGATTCTTTTAACACACAATCCATTTAACACACATTGAAAGCATCTGGCTTGCCCCAAATAATCTTGGGAAATGTAGTCAATTAAGGGTGCTGGGAATTGTGAATGGGTGAAAGGCATAAACTACACTCCCCATGATTCTGGGGAGGGGCAGGGGACACACAAGCTTTCAGTGTGCATTAACTGTATAGTGTAGATGTGACTCAGGTCAGAAAATTTCTCCATCTGACTTACTATTTGGAGAGCCAGTATGGTGCAGTGGTTATTGTGTTGGAGTAGGTCCAGGACATGGGAGAGAACAGAGTTTGAATCTCCACTTGGCCATGAAGCCCACTGGGTGACCTTGGGTCATAGTTACTGCCTCTCAGCCTAGCCCACCTCACAGGGTTGTCGTAGGGATTAAATGAGGAGGAGAAGAACCATGTGTGGCGTTCGTACAGAGCCCCCATTGTCTCACGGACTATTGACCCGTACACCACTAATCCGCTGCCACCAACCAGGTCCTCCCCAGTAAAATCACTTCAGCCTCAGTCAGGTTCTCAATTAATAAAGAAGAGTGTATTTTATTTCAGACACAAACTTTTCCAGCATTCGAAACATTGTTACTCTTTACTTTCTTAGTCTTATTTTCGTCTCTCTATCTCTTCCACCTCCCCTCACTCAAGAACCCACTGTCCTAACTGTCTCTCTATTACCAACTGCCTAGCAACTGCTTCTCCAACCGCCTTTCCCAACCAGCCAACCCACTAAAACCAACCAACTACCCACCAACAGCTCTCAACAACAACTACTCAAACCTACTCAAACTACTCAAACCTGTGTATAAAAGAGCTAAGTCCTTTAATACACAGGTAGGCTCCGCCTCCGGCTTTCCTATTGATCTATATTTTTAACCCTATCTCTCCCCCTGTTCAAACATTTTCTAAATGAATGGGGAAACGCCACACCATGTAAGCCTCCTTGAGCTCCCTGGAGAAAAAGGTGGGATATAAATGCAGTTCACAAGTGTTGTCTAGTCTAGAGGCACAGCCTTTCCCAACCCAGAGGCCATACTTAGGAGAAACCTCCTGGGGACTCTTCAATTTGTTCAGCAGGAGACGTTCCAGCCAAAGTCAGAGGTTACTAAAAAACACCTGTCTATTCGGCATCCAGACAAGGAAGAGGCATCATCCAAGTTGAAGGACACATTCCAGCCAGGGTACAGCATTCAAGGAGGTTGTGACATTCAGTGAAGCTGAATGTTGGAAGATTCAGGGCAGATAACAGGAGATACGATACGATGGCCATTTCCAAATATCTCAAGGGCTGTCACATGAAAGTTGGAGCAACCTTTTTTTCCTCCTGCCATGGAGGGGAGGACCCAAATCAACAGCATCAAGTTGCTAGAAAGGAGATTTCAACTAAACATCAGGAAGAACTTTATGCTGGTAAGAGCTGTTTGACAGTGGAAAGGACTCTCTCAGAAGGTGGTGGACTCTTCTTCCTTGGAGGTCTTTAAGTAGAGATTGGATAGCCATCTGTCATTGATGCTTTCGTTGACATTCCTGCATTGCAGGGGGTTGAACTAGATGACCCTCAGGGGTCCCTTTCAACTCTACAATTCTATAATTCTATGATTCCAAGTACTTCTGCACGCAGCACAGAGTTAAACTTTGGAACTTGCTACGGAGGCAACCAGCCCGGATAGCAAATCGGCAGCCAGTGCAGATCTCTGAGCCCAGGTGTCATATGTTGATAAGGCCTCACTCCTGTCAGCAATTGTGCTGCAGCGTTCTGCACTAACTGCAGCTTCCAGATAAAGTGTGAGGGAAGCCCCACATAGAGTGTGTTGCAGTAATCCAGTCTTGAACCATGTGTTAACTACTGTGGCCAGGCTTTCCCAGTCCAGATATGCAAAGCAAATTTCCATAAAGCAAAGTATTCTGGTGTGTTATTTCCACAACGTATTTTTAAGGATACTATATCCCAGGGTATTCATTTTTGCACCTTGCCAAAACTACATTGCAAAACTGGGGTTATGCTTCAGTTTGAGGATCGTTGTGGAAAAGTGCAATGAGATAAGCTGGTCTTTAAGTTATATTCTGGCTCCCTCCCTGATTTCCTACCTTCGGCATCCATATCTCCTAGATCTTTGTATGTCTGCTCTGAATATCATTGTTGGTTTTTCAACTTGGCAACTATGCTTTGCAGCTGAGGGTGTTTTTAACACGGGAGAACAGCCCAACCAATCAAGATGGAGATAAAAACAACAGCAGCAACCAAGTCTGATTAATCCAGCACTGGGATTTCTAGGCTTAATCACATTTGAAGCCAGAAAGGGCAGCTGTCGGGTCTGGAATCAGATCAAAGGTTCCTGGTGCCATTCAAATGAGAAGTGCCTTTTTCCTAACAACTGCATTTGACCTTAGCGTTTTGCTTTCATGGGAACCTTCCTCAAACAGGGAAACAGGAAGATGCCTTATACTGAGTCAGACCATTGGTCCATCTAGGTCATTGTTGTCTACGCTGACTGGCAGAGGCTATCCAGAGTTTCAAGACAGGGGACATTCCCAGCTCTACCTGGAGATAGAACCTGAGCTCTTCTGGATGCCAAGCAGGCACTCTGCCATGGAGCTACAGCCAGTCCCCTAAAAATAAAGTAAGATGCTAGTCCTCATGGTTATGGGAAATGGGCTGAGTTAAACAGGAACAAAATACTCTGTCATACTGAGTCAGGGCAACAGTCCATCTGCACTCAGCCAACCACCATCCAGTCCAGATGGGGACCCTCCTCAGTCTCAGTGTTGCTCTTACAGAACGCAACAGGGAGAAGGATGGAGATAAAACTAATCGGCTCTGCCTATCAGTGTCTCTGACGCCCCCTACTGTTGGGCTCCCTGCCTTCCGCCCCACCATTCCCAGCCCTGGGAGAGATTCTGTGAACGAGATTACATTGGGAAAGGCTAAGAGTAGGATTAGGGACGCAGGTGGCGCTGTGGTCTAAACCACAGAGCCTAGGGCTTGCTGATCAGAAGGTCGGCAGTTTGAATCCCCGCGACAGGGTGAGCTCCCGTTGTTTGGTCCCAGCTCCTGCCCACCTAGCAGTTTGAAAACACGTCAAAGTGCAAGTAGATAAATAGATACCACTCCGGTGGGAAGGTAAACGGTGTTTCCGTGCGCTGCTCTGGTTTCGCCAGAAGCGGCTTAGTCATGCTGGCCACATGACCTGGAAGCTGTATGCCGGCTCCCTTGGCCAGTAAAGCAAGATGAGCGCTGCAACCCCAGAGTCGTTCGGGACTGGACCTAAGGTTGGGGTCCCTTTACCATTACCTTTAAGAGTAGGATTAAGTGTGCAGCAGAAAACAGAATCCCACGTTACATGAAGCACACTGGATGTGGCCTTAGACCAGTCACTGCCTCTCATGCTAAGCTACCTCACAGGGTTGTTGTGGGGTTTTAAATGGTGAGGAGGATCATGAACACCACCTTGAGTGCCATGGAGAGAAGAGGTGGGATAAAAATGCAATCAATCAATCAATCAATCAATCAATCAAAACAAATCAAACCCTGAGATCTGGCGAGCACAACTGCTGACCAGGGTTGTAAGCGTTTTGTACCTGATCCTGTTTGTTAGAACTGATGGGAATCCAGCTTCCTCTGGGTTGCCACAGGCTCCCCATCCCCGCCATAAGACTTGTCCATTTCAGCTGAGTTTTAATAGCAGAAACTAAGGAAGCATAAGATGGTTTTAATTTGTCAAGAGGATGCAGCCCTTTATATATGAATTTGCTATTTTTACAGCGTTGTTTATCTGAAGCCTCAACCTGCCTCACACCCTCAGGACAGCAGCAGCCTCGAAAACTAGGCCCTGGATGTCAGATTAATTGAATTTTGTTAAATCGGATCAGTTTTCTAAACGGGATGCTGTAGGATTAATTAGGCAAACGAAGGGAGCTAAGTAAGTTTTAATTTGACTCGCCGACAAAACAATTGAACGATCAAATGCCAACGACAGAGCTAATGGGCACACAAGATTAATTAATCGGACTTGGCATTGTGAAAAGGGGACTCTGTACAGCCACACATTTTCTACAACATCAGTGGGCCGTGGTTGTATTTGTGGCAGGAGAAAGGTGTGTTGGCAGGGGTGCCTCACACCCAATGGGACTGGTAGGGTGGCAGACAGGAGGGCCATAAGTGGAAAGTGCCAGGCCCAGTGAAAGACAGAGCCATCCAATGGTTGGTTTTTTAAAAAGAAGGCATGCAGGTAGGGATTTGCTGAGGGCAGTGCTGCATTTGCCCTAATGGACTAATCTCCACAGGGTGTGTTGCAGAACTTTATGTTGGACTCCCATTATCCCTGATCACTGGCCTTGCCAGCTGGGGCTAATGGGAGCCACAGTCCGGCAACATCTAGATGGCTGCAGGTTAAATAGATCTGTGTTCAAATCCTTGCATTTGTCATGGCATTTGTTTGGGTAACCTTTGCTTTGCACAAGACCCACTTGTAGGAAACACAAAATGCCCCCGTTCCTTTCTCCTCAAATTATACACTGTTTTTGTTGGGTTTCCTCAGTAGAGGGATATCAGGGTGCCTACTGTACAGAGGTAAAATGTGTGTGAGTTGCTGCACCCAATTTTACCCCTTCTCCCACTGGCACAAGATGCTCAGAAGATTGTCCAAAAGGGAATGAAACCCTCAGGCTAGAAAAATTTTCCCCACCAGCCCTGGAAGTCTGCTAGATTTAACCTCTGGCCCTCTTGCTGTGTCTTAAAGCAGCAACCTGTGATGCACAGAAATCCACCTGGATAAGTCTGTCCCCTCCCCCCCCGTCCCCCCCATTACTTTATATAATGTGCTTTGACAAACAAAACCTGGCTAGGTTTCATCATTTTCAGAGTCTGGTTTAAAGGTGCAGGAGCAGAGCTGCTACAAGAAGTTGGCAACCCTAGCCGTTGCCTCCCTAGCTATACTCCAAGGGAAAATGAGTTTCCTTAAGGACTAAAGGCAGGTTCTAGAGAAAGAAAGTAGCTGGTTTCCGTTCTCCTCCCACCTCCTCCCCACAATTGGGAATTGACTTGAGCCTTTAAAATCTGTAGGCTTTGAATCAACTTTAAAGCTGTTTTCTCCCCTCATTGCCTCTCTATGCTGTGGGGAAAATGTCCCTGTTGAGTTTCTGCCTCTTGTGCAGCACTTAAAGGCATAGAATATGATTTAGGAAAGTAGGGACTGTATAGCATAGGCCCCTTGAGGCCATATTTGGTTTTGTTTTTTGTTTTTCCCCATCCACAGAGCAGGAGATAAAACAAGTGAATTTGTACTTTGACTACAAATATTTATAGTCATTCAGTTCTTAAGACTTTGAGTTTGTTTCAGACTTTGTCAAGCTTAGATTAGACCCATGATTTCCTCTACGCTTGACTTATTCCAGAGACAACCCTATAGACATTTCCATGTGTGCACAGTTCATTCAGAGTTGTACTGCACTGTGGGTTTTGTAGTGATGCAGGGCATTACTAAATATGTTTATTTGGCTGCTGTAAGGCTGCAGAATTAACTACATCCACCAGCAATGTGGCAAAACACATTCTTACAATAGATCTAGGTTGAAATTTATCAGACATTTTTTCTGGTGTGTGTGTGAAAATCTAATGATCTTCTTCTTCTTCTTCTTCTTCTTCTTCTTCTTCTTCTTCTTCTTCTTCTTCTTTTGCCTTCCTAGAAAAAGGAGGCCACTTTTTTGGATTGTCTCTGAATATTTTCAGAACAAAAAAACAAAAACCCAAATCCTTGGGGGGGGGGGAGAAGCAGCTGCTTCATGGTAAGCCCATACTTCAGAAAATGCTGAAGAATTTCTCCTTCGCCTGGAGAAGCTCAGGGAAATGATACCAACCCTACTGCATGGCCAATTTTGTCTGCCGACAAATGTGGAATTTTAAGAGGTCATTTGAGCTTGGCACTTGTTCACAGCCATAAAATGGCCTATTGCACTGCATCATGGATTCTGAGTCTTAATGCTCAGAGAGCCATATATATTAGTTTATTTACCAAAATTTATATACCGCTTGATTGTAAAAATAAATAAATATCCAAAACCTCAAAGCAATTTACAAAAAGATAAAGCAAGAAAAAAATTACAGCCATACTTTAAAACATAGAAAAGTTAAAATACTAAAACAGATTAAAATTACCTCAATTTCCTAAGCATCTGGGCAGGCAAGTCTAAGCAAGAATGCTTTTAGCAGGCACCGAAAAGAGGGCAGTGACAACACCTGCTTGATCTCAATAGGCAGGGAGTTCCAAAGTGTAGGCATCACTACACTAAATGATCAAGTTCTTACAAATGTGGGGTGGGTGTATGTGGCCAGTTCGGTAGTGCCAATTCTACCAATTGAAGCAGCTTAGTGGGCCCATGTTGGGTAAGGAGATTTGGTAGGTAAGCTGGTCTCAAGCTGTTAAGGACACCTTGTTAAGGACACAAGTTAATAGCAACACCTTGAACTTGGTCAGGGAGCAAATGGGCAACCAGGTGTTAGATGCTGGCAGTGTTGGGATTCTTTTAGTGATTTAGTTGAAGAATAAAATAATAATTCCCTGGATGCCTAGATCCAGATGTGGGGCAAGTACTATTTGGTGAGTAATTTAAAATCACAAAACATGCAGCAAAGTAAAGCATGGCTGTAGTTAGACCTTTAAATATCCCCTTCTTAAGTTTCTTCCAAAGTTCCCCACTTCCCCTTTGCATATGTTTGGTAAGTCTAGTAAGAGATCGTATGTTTGTAAGTTTAAAATGGTTTACTTACAAATATTTCAAAGCTCAGGTTCATGTGCTTTTCCATACAGCAGGAAGGGAAAAAAGGCAGTACAACTTAGGAAACATTTACCAGTTTTCGAATCTATCTTCTTATGAAGGGCTGCATCTCACCGGCAAAGTATCTGCAATGCATGTAGAAGGTTCAGTAACTTTTCCTTATTGGGTGGGAAAGGAATTCATAGAATCACATAATTGTAGAGTTGGAAGGGATCCTTAAGGGTCATCTAGTCCAACCCCTGCAGTGCAGGAATCCAACCTCTGATTAAAATTGTCCAAGGAAGGAGAGTCTACCACCTTCTGAGGAAGTCCGTTCCACTGTCGAGCAGCTCTTACTCTCATAAAGGTCTTCCTGATGTTCAGCCAGAATCTCCTTCCTTGTCATTTGAAATACCACTGGTTAGGGTCCTGCCCTCTGGAACAGCAGAAAACAAGCTTGTTCTATCTTCCATGTGACAACCATCCCTTTAGGTACAGTCATACCTCAGGTTACAGACACTTCAGGTTGTGTTTTTTCGGGTTGTGGACCGCCGAAACCCGGAAGCACCAGAATGGGTTACTTCTGGGTTTCGACAGTCGCGCCTGTGCAGAAGTGTTAAATTGCGCTTTGCGCATGCCCAGATGTGCCAAATCGCAGCCCACAAGTGCGCAGACACACCGCTGCGGGTTGTGGACACTGCGGGGTGCAAACGTGCATCCCGCACAGATCACGTTCGCAACCCAAGTGTCCACTGTATTTGAAGACGACTATCATATAACCTCTCAGTCTCCTCTTATCGGGGTTTAGCATACCCACCTCCCTCAACCGTTCCTCATAAGGCCTGGTTTCCAGACCCTTGAGCATCTTGGTCACCTTCCAGAGGCAGTCAAGCATTCCAAAATCTTCCACAGTTCAAACTATAGTCTGTCAGGCCACAGTCAATAGAAGCGATAAAAGTTGTTTAGATTGAACATCTTTGTTTGGCCCATGGCACAATGATGATAAAAACAGTTGCTCCAGCTCCTAGATCACTTTGGTCACCCTTTTCTGACCTTTCTCCAGTCGTACAGCATGGCAGGATGGGAATTCTCCAGAGGTATCTGTGTGTGTGTGTGTGTGTAGGATTGTTATGTTTGAAGAACAGAAAAAGTAGTCTTCTTTTTGTTGTCGGATGCTTATTTAAATGCACGGAGAGCCTGCCGCTGTTTGTTCCCTTCCCTAATCCCATCTCGGATGCCACCAGGAGGATGTTCAAAGGACGCACTCAGAATTGCAAAGGATGCGCTCTTTGGGAAGGGAGAATTAAAGTAGGGAAGAAAGCTGAACATCCCCTAGGGATCGGTTTGTGCCCTCAGGTGCTGTACTAATATTGAGGGGAGTGTTGAGGGGAGAAGGAAGATTGATAGTATGTGGAACAGGGTGGGTGGGGAGACGAGACTTATCCTGCCCAATATGCTGTTGATGGAAGAACAAGGACTGTGCCCTGCAGCTGTGGTTTTAAAATTAAATTACAGAAGAAAAGCAACTTAGAGCAGATGAATACCTGGTGGGACAGAGGGAGGGAGAGCCTGTGAGTGAGGATCCTGTCAGTGGCTGTCAGTCTCTCTGGGTCTCAAGGAACACACACCCCATTTTAACAAGCTAGTCACTGGCTTATAGAATTGTAGAGTTTGAAGGGAACCCCAAGGGTCATCCAGCCCAACCCCCTCTGCAATGCAGGAATCACAGCTAAAGAAGCTGCTGCCAGTAGGTGTACACAACGCTGAGCTAGATGTAGCAGTGTTCTGACTCAGTACAAGGCAGCTTCCTATCTTCCCATGAATGGGCTGCAACTCACTGGTAGAGCACCTGCAGTGTATGGGTTTAATCCCCAGTAGCATCTCCAGCTTGGACAAAAAGCTCTGCCTGAAAACCCTGGAGAGCTGCTGCCAGTCAGTGTCAACAGTACTGAGCTAGATGGGCCATCAGTCTGACTCAGTCTATTATTATTATTATTATTATTATTATTATTATTATTATTATTATTATTTCATAAAATCGATATACCACCTGATTGTAATATAAAAAGAAACCTCAAAGCAGTTGACACACAAAAAAGAATACAGCAAAACAATAAAAATTATCAGTTGGGGGAAGGCTATTTAAAACCTGCGGGGGGGGATTAAAATAAGCTAAAACCACATTGAAACACATGTCAGAATTCTGTAGGTTTGGATAGGTTTGCCCGAACAAAAAATATTTATATCAGGCAGCAAAGGTACCCCCCTGGGGTCAATAGGCAGGGAGTTTCAAAGTGTCACACTAAAAGATGAATAGGTGTGTGTGTCCTTATGTTTCGATCAGCGAAATATCACTTGGGAACCAAATATCTGTGGGTCCCAATAATGGCTGGATGAGGTGTTAAAACTGAGGAATCCCGAGCGATTGGCTAGGTAGCTTGAGGGGGGGATCTTTGCCACCTCCCCAAAGCAGTCATTTATTCATGCTGAAGGATTCCGCGTCCGTCCGTCCGCCCCCCCCCCCAAATTGCTCCTTCAAAAGCCAGGCTTACGCTCTTCGCTGGCTGAGGCTCCAGGCTTTGAACTGAGCGGGGGGGGGGGTGGAGAGAGAGAGAGAGAGAGAGAGAGAGATGAGATGAGAGAAAGGAGGGATTTTGTGCTCTTCCACACCCCTCGCCTCCTCGTGCCTCCGTCACTTGCATTGTCAAGTCTGATCAGAAGGAGGATCAGTCGTCCCCGACTCTTCCTCTCTCTCCAGATTTAATTAACGGTCCTTTCATCTCTACCCTGAAGGAATCTGCTATCTTCTGTCTCCTTAATTAACGTTCATTAAGCAAATCAGAAGAACGTTTTCTCCTCACAGCCTGGAAGGTTCTTAGACCGTTTGCCAGGCACCATGTTTGCATGCCCCCCCCCCCCAAAGGGAGGAGAAGGCACGGTGAGGTCATGAGAGGGGGCGCAAGATGGAAGTGGGAGACCCTATGCGGAACCTGAATTTGTTCCTTTGTCTCAGCTGCTGAAGCCCTGTTAACTATTATTATTAAAGATAATGGGACTAATGTGGCTTGCAGATAAAAACACAAAACACAGATAAAATACAAAGAACTAAAAACAAATAAAAGATAACCATGAAGAATATAATTGAAGCAATATAAAAAATAAACCTATTGAAATACAAATATAGACAGCGCAGCACTACTAAAAGCCCTTTCCTTCAAAAGTCAGCCAGTTCCCATAGGCCTGTTGGAACAAGAGAGTCTTCACCTGCTGGCAGAGGGACAACAAAGGAGGGAGCCAGTCTGGCCTCACTAGGAAGGGAATTCCAGTCTGGGGGCAGCCACCGAGAAGGCCCTGTCGTGCATCCCCATCAAGCCTGCCTGTGAGGGTGGCGGGACTAAGAGTAGCGCCTCCCTTGAAGATCTTAGAGTCAGGGCAGATTAGTATGGGAGAATGCGGTCCTTCAGATAGCCTGGGCCTAAGCTATATAGAGATGTATAGGTTATAACAAGGGTCACTAAGAACAATATGGGTGTCCACCATGACCTGTATGAGAAGGAAAGACAAGCCCTGCTGGATCAAGCCAAATGTCTGTCATGGTGCAGCATGCTGTTCTCACAGCGGCCAACCAGAGGCCAGGGCTCAGGAGAGGGGTGTGCATCTTACCACTGCCTGGGATCAAAATGGAGGCTGGGAGCCAAAAGAGGGGAGCCAGAAATTTCCTGGGACCTCAGAAGACCTTTGCAGATATTATGTGAAGACTAGCTTTTACATTTTGTGTAAGCCTATATAAAACACTACGACATTTCTTCCCCCACCCACTTCCTGTCCTGCCAGCATGGCCCTGCCCACTTCTCCCAGGCAATCCAGAGAGGCGGCACTGAAATCCCAGTGAAAGATAGTATGAGTGGGCAAGGCAAGAAGGCGGGCTTGCTTTGCCTCCCCTGCGGGAGACATGCTCCGCCTACTGAAGGGACTGCAGCGGGGGTTGGTCCCGACCTGACAGCAGCCTGACTTCAAGCAGAAGAGGGCAAAGCAGCTCATGGTCACCATTATCATCATGAACAGATGAAGAACTGACTACATCTGGTAAAATCATCTTTTCCAAACAACTGTCCCAAGAATCAGGAGATGGTTAACATTTGCATTGATTCAAATTATAATTGTAAAAGTATAATAAAAGCAAACAAACAACACGTATTTCATAGTGCTCTGCTTTATCAATTCTAGGAATAGAAGACTGGGTAATGATTCATCTGTGCATTTTAATTTGGGGGTTTTCTGACAAAAGGTGTTGTCGATTTGGAATTATTGGTTAACCTGGGAAACAGCTCAGATATGAGGAACAAGGAATTGCAAAGTCTTTTTACTGCTGAGCACAACTTAAGTTATTTCAGCCAGCTGCCAACAAGCTGCATAGTTTGCAGGGGAGCTCTTGCTGGATTGTTGGTGTTTTGATCAAGCAAGCACATTCGGTGCTGCAATTTTTACTTGCATTTATAATATTGCTTACAAATAAAACTGAATGACAGAAAGAATGGTGAAGCCTGGAGAACATTTTTAAGGTTGAGCGAAGGAAGATCAGTTATAGCATGCCGTATTTTACTGCAGAGGAAAGGAGCAGCTTTAGATATACTCCCATCCCAACAGCGTCATTGCAAAAACATCCCCTTTAGTTTTTTCCTCGTATAAATAAAGTGCCGTTGGAAACAGTGGACAAAAAAACCTCTCATGATTTTCCACTCCTGGTTTAGGAACAAATTGTTAGGTAGTTGGCTCTTTTAAAATTAGAAGTATTAAACATATTTGAATTTACACAGGAAATCTTCCACTACTGTACCCTTACATACTGTACATACAAATGCATGTGGAAGATGAGAGGCATAATCATAATGTAGGCATTGGCATTGGATATATCAGAACTAAGTTTCCATCTCTAAAGGAAATAGACACATCCCTTTGCCTAAAATATTCCCAAAAGCAGAGCCATAACTACAAGGGGGCTAGTCAGGTTTCTTGCCCCAGGTGAAGCTTCCAGAGAGGTTCCATTGAAGCTCCAGGTCTCTCTCTCTCTCTCTCTCTCTCTCTCTCTCTCTGTGTGTGTGTGTGTGTGTACAAAAGCACATTGGAGGGGTGCCAACCTGGGTCTTTGACCTAGGCAAAATAAAGCCTAGTTTTGACCGTACCAAAAAAACCCCACAACCAAGTTTTCCCAGAAAGCATACTGAAATGTCAAAGCACCAATGGAGAGTTGCATGTAAGAGAGTGGCTTCTCTGTAGTCAACAGAAACAAGACAGTCAAGATTAGCTCTCCTGCGTCAGCACTGCATCTGCACCGGTATCTGTTGAAAGCTGGGATTCTAATGAGAAGTGGCAGAAACTTTCCTACAGGATCCCAGAACATGAAAAGGCCGCAGCAAATGTTACCTAGTTTGGCGAGAACTAGGAAGGTGCCTGCTCTCTGGGACAGGAGCTGATGTCATCTTAGAAGCGCCGATCAAAGCTGAAGCTTTGAAGTGATACAACTTTTTAAGGGGCATCATCAATGTTGTAAACTTCTTGGAAGAATGTGGGCTAGCATTTACTGGTTCATTCCATCAAATTGGTGATTCATCCAATGGAAACTTTTAAAAACTTGTGGAACTGTTCTCCAGGTGGGGCCCCATCCTTCAGGAACATGTGCTAAGTGTAGAGGAGTCACAGAAAAGGAGTGAGAGGCTTCAAGTTCATTATTTGTCCCCTGACTCACAAAATGTATTTATTGCAGAATGCTCAAATCATGTGAAACAACACATTTTGCTTGAGTGACAATCTGTAAAGTACTTTGCAGTAATAGTAAATCCACATCAGATTCTTTCTGTATTGAACAAACAACATTTATTTGGAGATGTGTACTTTTAAAAGAAACACAAAATGAGATTCAAGAAAGATTTCTCAAGTTTGCAGATAGTAGCAGTGAAAGAAGGAATCAAATTGCTCAGTTGTGCAGGGATGTGAATAGTTTTATTAGTTATTATCTTTCCTTCCTCATGTTTGTGAGTTCAGTAGAGTGCATCCCTTTGCAGCTTAAAAGAGAAACTTAGGCTAGTTTTAGCTTTTTAAATTTAAGTAATCCAGGATGCTTCAAGGCAGTTTGGATTCTCCAGGTATTTCCCCCTTTAAAACAACAATTACAGTAACAGTCTGTAAACAGTAAAAATAACATTTACTCACTCAGAGTTTCTGTTGCAGAATGACAAATACAGCGACTTTGTTCAGGCAGGCTTAAAATTGTAATTCAGTTACAAAGTCATGCTTTAGTGTAGTTTAAGATGGTGTCTGAGCAGACATTCTCACATTTCTGGCTTGATAATGAAGATGAAGAGTAAGAGAAGAAAGAAGATGTGCCCAAGCAGGTGGGACAATATATGTGTCTTGGGCACAGTGGGAGTGTCTCTCACAGGGTTTTCTCTAGGAAACTTACAGGATAACTATGAGAGCTTCAGTTCCCAACATGCGCCAAATCGTTGGTTTGACTGCATTTTAAATATCCCACAAGTTGATAACTGATACATTGAAAGAACATGCTATTCCTCTCAGTGACCATATTGCTCAAGATTTCGATAATGGGGCAAATAGGGCCAGAAAACACAACAGTGCACATGCAAAAATGGAAAAGAAAAAAGCTCAACAGCCATTTTTTCACCTTGTGGGAGTCACACACTCAACACATGTTGAAATGATGGTGCTGAATGCATACCTGAGGCAATCACTTTTTCAAAACTATTAAAACTGTGCAACACCACTTCCATTCCTAAGCAGTGGGAATTAATACAAAACGGTATTGGTTGTTCTCTTTGTGGTATAATAAAACTCCAAAAGTCCGAAACAAGATGGCCAGATTGTACTGGATGTGTAAAACCTTTTGCAGCTCACTTGCCTGGCATTAAATTAGCACTGGAAGACCTCCTAGAACCAAATTTGACAGCCAAAACAAGCCATGAAGTCCACAGAGTTTTATTATATGTGACATCTTTTGTCTGTATGTTGATGTCAGCTGTGTGGTACAAAATATTAGCTGGCATAGATATTTGCAACAAGGTCATTCAGGCTAGAGATGCCACACTGGATGTTGAAGTAGCAAATGTAGAAATTCTCCTCACAGAGCTGACAAAACTTGGAAGCAACTGAAAATGCAAGTGGAATGAAGCCAGATCGGTTGTGTCAAACCTAAATATAGAAATAAAACTCTTCTCGTAGATGTAATGGAGTTCAGTGCAAGAGGACAAGGTCACATGATGACAGCACACCTGATGCTAACTTGGAAGAAATGAATGGCACGGATTATACTCCAGAAGAGGCCTACTTCAGAAAGTGTATGTTTTACGTTTTGGTAAACAATGGTCTAGCAGAATGCGATGCTGTTAAACAGTTGGCAGGGGGAAAAATTGATTTCGTCTGGAAATATCTCACCATGTCTGAAAGTGATGTGGGGGGGGGGGAGCTTTGTCTTTATCAGAGTGATATCCCGCTGACCTTAATGCTAATGATTTTGGAAAAGAAATGCAACATTTATTCTCAGTACATAAACAAATTTTGTAAATGCACAGTTAAAGCCAATAGAACTTGGTGACCTGTTTCCAAATATTTGTGCTAGCTTAAAATGTAAAGGTACCCCTGACCATTAGTCCAGTCACGGTTGACTCTGGGGTTGTGCGCCCGTCTTGCTCTATAGGCCAAAGGAAGTCGGTGTTTGTCCACAGACAGCTTCCAGGTCATGTGGCCAGCATGACTAAGCCGCTTCTGGCGAATGAGAGCAGCGCACGGAAATGCCATTTACCTTCCCACTGGAACGGTACCTATTTATCTACTTGCACTTTGACGTGCTTTTGAACTGTTAGGTGGGCAGGAGCTGGGACCGAACAACAGGAGCTCTCACCCCGTCTTGGGGATTCAAACTGCCGACCTGATCGGCAAGCCCTAGGCTCTGTGCTTTAGACCACAGTGCCACCTGCATCCCTTTGTGCTAGCTTAAGAATACTATTAATTATTCCAGCAACAGTTGCTTCTGGCAGAGGTGGATTTAAGGCAGTATAACTGGTCCCCCCCCCCCCCCAGAGCTCTGTGCCAAGAGGGCGTCTTCCCAGCTCCTTCCCAAAGCCTTATTATTATTATTAAAGATTTTCTTGGTTTACAAAATTATATGCTTTGTCTCTTTTTACAGGTTGTACAGTCTTTCTTACAAATCAGTTACATTAGTTGTGAGACATTAGTGTTGAGTACAGTATAAGGTTGGGGAAGAAGAGGGGGGAGAGGAGGGGTGGGGTGGTGAGGCTTATATTCTTTTGTATAGTGTACGTGCGGGATTTTGTGTCATTGTCAACTGGGTAGGTTCTCTTTCTGTGTATTCATTGCATTTCCTTGGTTGTGAGAGGTATTGGAGGTTAGGGTGTGGTTGATTGTCTGCAGTGGGGTTTGCTTGCATTTGTGAGGGGGGGGAGGGCTTGTTGAGTCAGGCAAGCCAGATTGATTTGTATGCTGTCAGTGGACTCTTCTTGTTGTCTTGTTGGGCTGTGTATATGATAAAGGGGGACCATACTGGGTTCTCTAAGCCTATTTAGTGCTTGCCCAGCATTGATAAGGAGCTGGGAGGGCTCTGGAACCCTGCCAGAGCCTCACACCTCCTTCCCCAAGCCCAGTGCCTCACTTAGCCAGCTTTGGGAAGGCAGCTTTGGGCCGGGAGTGGGGGAGGGCATTGTTTAGGCTAGAGACAAGTTTGGGGTAAATTCATTCATCCCTGTCATAGGTGATCTTGAAACCAACCTAGACAGAAGAGCAACAATATATAGGAGTGTATACCTTTTGCTGCCCATCTGTCAGGCTTCCACAGGTGCACCTGGTCCAGTCCTGTCTCTACCTAGCTACAGGATATCCATCTTAACTAGCAGGTAAGTCTACTCCACAACTGCTGATGGGAGCATCTCAAAACAGCCAGAAGCAGGCATTACTCAGGGAAGAATGAAGTAGATACACTCTTAGCACCAGCAGGAGATCCTGAATGTTCACTTACAGAACATACATTTTCGCTTGCATTAGCCGTTCCAAGCGGTTTTAAGGATCCACAAGAAAAAAATTAGCAGGGTAAAAAAAATGTTCTTAAATAAATCATGAAGGAGGGAGCTCTCTGTTTCATTCCCACAAGCCAGCCAGGTTATTGTCTTCCCATCCCCAGCCTTGGGGTCAGCTCTCTGTCTCCCCTCTCACTACCTGATATGCTGTGGGAGTTTCAAATCAGCTCGGAGCCTGAATGCCACACTGCAGCAAATGGTAAATAAATAAATAAAAGGAAATTTAGTGCCAGCATCAAACAACAAAAGACACAAGGGGAAAGCTACCTCAAAAAGATTGCAGGGAAGTGATCCACTTGATAAAGAGGTATAATAAAGATCAGGGAGCACATTCATGGTGATCACATGCCCTCCAACATTTCTCCAGTGAAAATAGGGGCATGGCCACTGGTCCCATCACCTCCTGGCAAATAGAAGGGGCAGAAATGGAGGCAGTGGGAGATTTTACAGTCACAAAATTAAAAGACGCCTTCTTCTTGGGAGAAAAGCGATGACAAACCTAGACAGCATCTTAAAAAGCAGAGACATCACCTTGCCGACAAAGGTCCATATAGTTAAAGCTATGGTTTTCCCAGTAGTGATCTATGGGAGTTGGACCATAAAGAAGGCTGGTCGTCAAAGAACCAATGCTTTTGAATTATGGTGCTGGAGGAGACTCCTGAGAGTCCTGTGGACTGCAAGAAGATCAAACCTATCCATTCTTAAGGAAATCAGCCCTGAGTGCTCACTGGAAGGACAGATCATGAAGCTGAGGCTCCAATACTTGGGCCACCTCATGAGAAGAGAAGACTCCCTGGAAAAGACCCTGATGTTGGGAAAGATGGAGGGCACAAGGAGAAGGGGATGACAGAGGACTAGATGGTTGGATAGTGTTCTCAAGGCTACCAACATGAGTTTAACCAAACTGTGGGAGGCAGTGGAAGACAGGAGTGCCTGGCGTGCTCTGGTCCATGGGGTCATGAAGAGTCGGACACGACTAAACAACAAGGAAAAAATGATACATTTTGGGATCAAATCAGAAACCAGGATGGCTTCTGTAAATCCAGGACTGTCCCTGGAAAATAGCGAAACTTGGAGGGTCTGAGACCAGGGGGAGCAAGGTGGGGTAGGGGGTTGCAGGTAGGTAGTGTTAGTGAGCAATGCAAGCAGGGGCAAAAGGCCCTGGTATTTAAAAAACAAACAAACCCATAAAGAGTTATATGAGCTCTCCTCTGGCACAGAGAAGGAATGCTCAGTCTAAAAATAAATAACAAGATGTTGTATGTGGGCTGTGGCAGTCAGATGTCTGTTGGTTCCCCTTCAACACATCCAGGCAAATCTGTTTTTTGTATCTTCCACGTCTGCGTTGCTCCTGTTGATTAAAATGTGGTAAAAAATCTCCATTCCTGTTCTCTTCCAACACCATGTCCAGCTGGGTAGCAAACTCTGCTGGAAACGCTGAGTACTTTATTACTATATCTTTTCAAAGCTGAGCTCCACAAGGCCCCAGGCCAGCCATGAAACCTCTTTGATACAACTGCAAATTCACTTTAAAAAATAAAATAAAATGTAAGTACGGATGCAATGAATATCCTGGATGTTTGTTTCCCAAAAGCAAAAGCAAAAAATTGCATATTTATAATTGAGAATAAGCATCCCAAGTAAAGCAATAGTTATCACAGGTCTGTCTGTGTGTGAGGGGGGGAGGGGAGAGAGAGAGAGTAGGTGAAATGGTAGGTTTTGCAATCCTGCTTTATTTTATTTTATTTTATTTTTACTTCCATTTATGAATTGCTTCCAATAAAAATATCTCGAAGCGATTTAACAATAAGAACATCAACCAAGAGGGCAGCAGCAGCAGTTTCATATACGAAGCAATCCTCAGTCTAATACAGATACAGACCAGGATAAAAAATAAATACATCTCCACTGAAAAGTCTTGGTTTAAAAAGGAATGTCTTCAATACGCACCGAAAGGACAATCATCTGACTTACTATTATTTCGACTACTATTTTTATTATTACTATTATTACTATCACCATCATTGTCAATCTTTATTCTAGAAATGGTGTCTGTCTGATATATTCAAAAATGAACAGGATTTGGCGCTTAATATTGGGGCCATGAACAGGCCAGGACCTGGGGCAAATCTAGGGTTGCCATATTCTGAAGAACAAAAAAGAGGACACATTTGTCAACTTCTACTTTTAACTATGGATCTCTAAGACAAGTCTCATTTTACATACCCATGAAAAAGATGGCAACCCCAAAATAGGCAAGGCAGCCGATAGTCTGGTGGCATAGAGCAGGGTTAGGCAATGTGGTGCCCCTGGCCAGATGGACTCCAACTCCCCATACCCCTGACCACTGGCTATGGCTGGGGTTGATAAGAGCTGGAAGATATCACATTGCGCTGTCCCTGGCATAGAAGGACACATTAGTGGTAGAGATGTAGTAGTATATTGTTTTATGGACTCAAAGACCCATTAGAGAAGGCTTCCTCAACCTCGGCCCGCCAGATGTTTTGAGACTACAATTCCCATCATCCCTGACCACTGGTCCTGCTAACTAGGGATCATGGGAGTTGTAGGCCAAAAACATCTGGAGGGCCGAGGTTGAGGAAGTCTGCATTACAGCATGATGCCAATAACACCAAGGTTGCAGGTTTGATCCCCATATGAGACAGCTGCATATTCCTACACTGCAGGGGGTTGGATGAGCCTTTCAAACTCTACGATTCTATGATTCTATACTATTTCTGCAGCTGGGTCTCTATCTCCAGCATCCGTAGGCCACCCACTCAGCATGAAAGGGGAGCTTTTTTCCACTGAGAAGATGTCTTCTCACCCTTTGTATTGACTTGGAGCCATTCAGAGTGAAAAGAAATGTGTCAACCACTGGGGATCCCTTAGAAGTCCATTTGATCCCTTGAAAGAAGGCCTGAGGGAAGGACACAGAGGAAAAATTGTTTTGATTGCCCCAAAGCTAAGCATTTAGGAACATTGACAAGACAAGGACCTTCAGTTTCCATGGAACGAGGTACAACTTCTGATAGGTACAAAGGAACTTCAAGGGAAACAAAAGCTAAGAAGATATTGGAGCACTCCAGATCATTTGCTCCTGAATGTGCATAGAAAATAGTAGGTCTAGCTGAAAGGCAACATGTGGAGATCTGCATTGATCATTGCAATGCATTCATAATCATTATTATTATACTTCAGGTTTAATAAAGTAACCAGCAAATCAACAGATGGATAGAGCAATGTATAAAAAAAATACTTACGTATTATTCTGCAGAAATGTAGTACAGCATAGAGTACAGCCCTAACCCAACTCTCTTATATGAAAGAGATGTATATGTAATATATGTATTTTTTTCATGTAATTTTTGAATAGTGACACTGCTTAAAACTAAACTTCAGATATAAGCAGGTCGTCTGATATTGACAAATTCTGATTGAGTGAGAATCGCCAAATATCACCTATAAATCTGTCTAAAGTAGAGTGCTCCTCCATCCCTACTTCTGAGTATACATTGCCACCCCAAAACCCTTCAACACCAATTGAAACAAATTCCTTCTTGAAGAATTTTTTTTAAAACCTGGGCAATGCCAACTGCATACATTATGCAAATAGAGTAATTTTGCACAATTTCCCACAATCTGCACATTTTTAGATTGAATGATTTATTCTATTTTGCTAATCACAAGGAGGAACAAGCACTTATTGCTAGGAATCAGACAGAGATTCCTCTGGGGTCTGCACCTTTTCAAGCAGGGTGTCCCAGTCTTAAGGACTAGAAACTCACTTTTATTGTTGTTGTTACTGTGGTGTTTGACTGTTGATTTGAAAATGTCTGTACAGGGGGAGAGAAAGGGTTAATATGTAGACCAATAGGAAAGCCAGAGGCGGAACCAACCTGTTTATAAAAGGGCTTAGCCCGAGGTTTGGGTGTGGGTAGTTGGTTGGTTTTAGTGGGTTGGTTGGTTGGTTGGTTGGTTGGTTGGTTGGTTGGGAAAGGCAGTTGGAAAAGCAGTTGGCAGACAGTTGGAATTAGAGAGACAGTTAGTGCAGTTGGTTCTTGTGTGAGGGGAGGTAGAAGAGATAGAGACAGGATAAAAATAAGACTAAGAAGGTAAAGCGTAACAACATTTTGAATGCATTTAAAGTTTATTTGTGTCTGCAATAAACTACACTCTTCTTTGTTAACTTAAGAACCTGACTGAGTCTAAGTGATTTACTGGAGAGGACATGGTTGGTGGCAGCGGATTAGTGGTGTACTGGTCAATAGTCCGTGAGACTACCGGGGGCTCCATACGAACGCCACAGTTACAAACTTAGATATTTAGGAAGCTGTATTTTGTGGTCACTATCACATTCTGGAGCAGATCATGGCATATTCATACGATTATTTAGGAAGCCAGAAGGAAAAGAGGCCAGCATTCTTTAACTAATCCCTTCATTCTCCTTCCTGAATGACAAAACTGCAGACAGCTTGACTGTAATGAGATTTGACTGTAAAATTCTACCAGTGGTGGGCTCTGGAGCTTCACTGCACAGCCTGCTGGGAAAGATCTGCCTAGGTCATACATGTGAGTGCATCACGGCTGATCATGCCACCCCATGACTGACACTCTGGCGGAAGCCCATGCAACTGTCCTGAGTGATGTGTAATGATGGCTTTGTCAGGCCTGGTGCAGTTGGCACCTTGGCAGAAGGTCAGTCGCACATTCCCCAAATGAGCTTTGTCAGGCTTCCGTTGGTTGAGTTGATTGATTGACTGGCAGCCCAACTGAGTGGCAGAATCGCCTCTGTGTCGCCGTGGCTTGTCAAATCTTCGACAGGTGCTCCAAGGAACCTGAAAGATGCCGCTAGCCAAAAGGCAGCTACAGTGACGGGTCACAGGAGGAGCTGCAGAGCCAGGAATGTTGCCGAGAAACCAGCAGAGCAATTCCATTAGCGGCGAGACCAGCAATTCCCACCAGGAATGCAGGAAGCAGCTCAATACTGAGTCAGACCAATGACCCATCCTGCTCTATATTGTCAACATTGACAGGCAGTGCCTCTCAAGGGTTTCGGGCAGGAAGTCTGTTCCAGCCCCACCTGGAGATGCAATTGAGGTTTGATCCTGGGGCCTTCTGCATGCGAAGCAGATACTCTGCTGCTGAGCAACAGCCAGTCCTCCTAAAAACCTGAGCTGTGCATGGTCCATTTGACTCAGAGTTGGTGTTTTGGGGTCTCCCACAATTCAGTGGCCTTGCTATCATTATTTAATCTAAGACTGTGGTTCCCAAACTTTTATTTGGGGGGACACCCCCCTTGGTTCCATAATTTCATCCCCAGTGCCAACTACCCTATAAAAAGCATTGAGAATAGTGGTTTGCATGACTCAGGAAGATAACACAATAAAATACAAAACAGTAACAATTAATTGCACATTTATTCAAAAACCAATTAAAACTAATCTGTTTAATTCATCAAAACTGATGAACTTGATGCCAGCTTTTCAAAGTCTGATAGTGATTTACACCTCTAGCTCCCCTTACCACCCCCTTGCCTCTTAGTGCCCCTACTGGTCAATCCTACTACCCCCATCCCCAGGGGTTCCTACTGCTCACTTTGGGTACCGCTGGTCTTAGCCATTAATAATCCATTTCCTGCTGCAACCCGGATGCTGCAACCTGGAGATATGATTGTTTTGTTAACTACACAAAATTGGCATGACCAGGTTTGGAAGACTGCACTTCTAGAAAAATTAACAAAACATTGCAGAGTAGTCAGAGGTGACATTACCAGAGGTCAATTTTATAATGACTGGTCTCAGTTCATATTTTAAATTAATTCCTCACCTAAAGAACCTAGACGAAGGCCCATCTAGTTCAGCGCCCTGTTTTTGCAGTGGCCAACCAGATGCCCTTGGAAGCCTGTTAGCAGAACTGCACTCACCACCACCTGAAATTCCCAATAACTGGTCTTCAGAGGAATACAACCTCTGGCAGTGGGCATAGACCATGGCCATTGTGACTAGTAGCCATCAGTAGCCTTGTCAACCAGATGCCCCAATGGGAAGCCTTCACGCAGGACATGAGCAGAACAGCAGCTCTCCCCACCTGGGATTCCCAGCATTTAGAGGCATACTGCCTCTGAAGTGGAGGCAGAACAACGCCATCGTGGCTAGTAGCTGTTGATTGCCTTATCCTCCATGAATTTGTCTAACCATCTTTAATGCCATCCAGGTTGTTGCCCATCCCTGCAAGTTGTGGCAGCAAATTTCAAAGTTTAGCTGTGCACAGTAGGAAGAAAGACAGAAATACAGGTTAGGCAAAGAGACTGTTCCAAGAGCTTGATGGCCAGAGGGAGGTTTGAAGCTCTTTTCTTCCCAGTCCTGGTGTAAAACTCTTAACTCAGATCCCTACATGATGGACTGGGGAGGCACCCCAATTCAGACTTTCAGGACAATGGTATTTAAAGAAGAATCTAATACTGTATGTCAACAGATAATATCTGATCCTGTGCTAACTCTACTTTCACTAGGGAGTGATAGCAAGCCATGTGCTTTTTTAGTTCATAAAATATATACACTGCTGCATTGTACAAAAAAAGAAAGAAAGAAAACCTCAAATAGGTTTACAAAAAGATAAAACAACAGAATCAAGAAAAAGATATAATAACTTTAAAACATACAAAAAGTTAAAATGCTAAAACCGATTAAAATTCACAACAGCATGTCTAAGACTTGCCTAATTTTTTTTTTTTTTTAAATGTATGAATGCCTGACAGCATTCTTGCTAGCAATGACTAGGATGGAAATAGCAGCCAGATGGATGTCAGGCTCAGGTCTATCTGCCCCAAACTCGCTTGCAATGATTTGGGAAATAGTATGATCAGAGCAGCTAATTCAGCACAGTAGAGTGGTCAGAGGCCAAGCAAAAAAATGCAAGTTCTGGTCAAACCTCCAGTGATGCATGTATCCTTATGGAGAGATACGATTTCATAAATGACTTTTACTGTTGTGCAAACAGTATGCAAATGAATATTCCAAATGTACTCCATATTAGTTTGGGTTTGTTTTTATTGCTGTTTCTTTATGTGTAGGAAAAATCGATAAAATGTAATTTTTTTTAAGCCTCTGTCTCAGATGTGTGGGGAACCTGCAGCCCTCCATCTGTTGTTGGACTCCAGCTCCCATCAGCACAGCAAGAATGGCCAGTGGTCAGGGATGATGGGAGTTGTAGTTGAGCAACTTCTGCAGGCCCAAAGACTCCACACACCTCCTCTAATTGCTCCACCACGCTGGTTCATGCATCGCTCCTCAGCGCTTGTTTCCTAGAAAAGCAATGTCTGTTTGGTTTAATTTGACTTTTTCTCCTGAGTATGATTCCATTATCGCTGGCAAATTGTCTAATTTTAAAAGACAAACACAAGCCATGTACATGAGGAATGGGAACTCCTGAATCAAAGATATAAGTTCTGCATTAAGAAATTAATTAATTTTATTACGTTTATAATCCGCATCACCTCTCCCTCCCTCCAGCTCGCCTGGTCTCAGTCTGCTTAGGGAGGGGAAACTGTTTTCATTCCCTTCTGGGTAAACTTTTGGGAGCCACATGCCAGTAGTGGGTGGGGCCAGAGGCAAAAGTGGCCGGAGCAACAAATAGAAATGTTACAGTAGTGTAGTTTTTACAGTACTGTAATTTCTCTCTCTCTCTCTCTCTCTCTCTCACACACACACACACACACACACACACACACCCCCTCACCATCTGCTGTCCAGGAAAGCAAGAATTCAGGGACACATCCCAGCTACAAAGCAGGGTCTCTTCCAACTCTGCAATCCTATGGTTCTCTAGATAAGAACAAAACAGAGCAGTTGAAAAAAATGGTCTCTCCTCTCTTCTCTCAATATCTAAATGCCACCTTCTGCACCATACTCACTTTTTCTTTTTCTCTTGTAAAGTTTTTTTTTTAAATTTCATGTGGATATATATATATATATATATATATATATATATATATAAAACAGAGAATAGTAATTTTAACAACAGGTGAAAATTAAAAGATGAACAACAAAACCACAAAATTGGCACATAGAATGAGTCCAGTTGCACTTGAATTAAAACAACACAGTCCAAGTAAAGACTACCAGCATTATCAGATTATCAACTCTAGTTCCAAATTTGCTAGGTTTGTGATGAGGGTTGTCCTGAAAATCAGGAAGAACTTTCTGGTGGTAAGAGCCATTCAACCGTGGAGTGGTCTCCCTGGGAAGGTGGAGGACTCTCCTTCATTGGAGGTTGGATGGCCATCTGTCATTAATGTTTTAGTTGAGATTCCTGCATTGCAAGGGACTGGACTAGATGACCCCTTGGGCCCCTTCCAAACTTTACAATTATATTATTTTTATACATCGGTATCTTCCCATACTCTATTTGAGGGCAGCTCCCCAAAGAACACATTGCAGTAATCCAGCCTGGATAGAACCAATGGTTGTGTCACTGAGGCAATAATGAAAATAACCATATCATTTTTCCTTTCTGGTTTTCTAGTTACTACATTCTACACTCACTGAAGTTCACTGTCTTTCATGGAAATCCCACAAAAAATGCATTTCAGTAATACAGTGGTATCTCAGGTTATAGACGCTTCAGGTTACAGATGCTTCAGGTTACAGACTCTGCTAACCCAGAAATAGTACCTCGGGTTAAGAACTTTGCTTCAGGATGAGAACAGAAATCGCACGGCGGCGGCACAGCCGCCGTGGGAGGCCCCATTAGCTAAAGTGGTGCTTCAGGTTAAGAACAGACCTCCAGAATGAATTAAGTTCTTTACCCGAGGTACCACTGTATAGCCTGGACAGAACCAGAGCATGTGTCAATATATACGGCATGAAACAGAACAATAGAAACAACCTTTCTCAGTGTCTAGTTGCCGCCTTCTACACCAATTGAAATTTCCATACATTATTTAAGAGCAGCCCCCCACAAAAAAAAAAAAATGCATTGCGGTAATCTAGTCTGGATGGAGCCAATGGACATGTCACTGAGGCAAGGCCGGCCTTCTCTAGATAAGGTGCAAACCAGAACAAGCATATTCTCTCTCCCTATTGATCTGCATTTTTCCTGCTTCAGGGGTTGCTGCAAGCAACCTATCGACAGCCCCTGGGCCTTGCGCATCACCTTCGCTTCCCACTGTTTCCCCCTCAATAGCCTCCAGCTCCCATGTTTCCGTATCAAATGCCAATTTCACCCCTGTCCGGTGCGGTTGCTGATAGTGGCTGGTGGGTGGGCTGAAAGTGTCAGAGGAATTCGCTCCAACACACTCTTCCTGCTCTTTGGCTTCCCAGTCATGTGCTGCTCCAAAGCATGGCTGAATAAACAGCTCAGCCGGCACCCCAAGCTTTACCGCCCTTCCAATTTCACTGCAGAAGAGCCAGTTTTGCCGTGCATGAATTGGCTGGCGGGGGCCAGGCTGCATACCAACTTGCCCTGTGTTCCGATAAACCTGGGAACAGAACATCCAGGGGAGGCAGAACATGGCCATCATGCCTAGTAGCTGTTGATTAGCCTTATCCTCCACAAATGTGTCTAATACTAATTTAAAACATATATTCCGGCAGCCATTGCTAAATCTTGTGGGTGCAGATTGCATACTCTAGCTATGCGCTCAGGGCCGGCCCACCTATAAGGCTCAGTGTGGCAGCAGCCACCTCAGACAGCAGGTTAGGGATAGCTGGGAAGGGCAGCAGATCTGGCCAAGGAGAAGGCCACTCACCACCTCCTGTACTTGTCACTTGCTGCCTTGTCTTCCACCACTGCCACTCATCCCCAGCCTACTTTTATCTCCCCACCACTACACCGTACAGAGTGCTGGAGCTTCCCCCCTGCTGTGTCTAATCACCTCAGGTGGGGGTGGAGGGAGCACCTGGGGTGCAATTTTCTATTTTGCCTCAAACGGCAAAATGTCCTGGGCTGGCCATATATGTGCTGAATGAATAAGGACTTTACTTTGTCCTGAATCTTCCAAACGTTAAGCTTCATTGGTTGTCCATGAGTTCTACTGTTATGGAGAGAATCATCTCCCTAACCACTTTCCTCATAGTTGTGTTGCTCCAACTCCTTGAAGGAAGCCAGACTATCCTCCACCAGGGCCAGGGCTTTTTCAGTGACGGCTCCAGCCTGGTGGAATGCTCTGTCCCACGAGACTAGGGCCCTGCAGGACTTGATCTCCTTCCGCAGGGCCTGTAAGACAGAGCTATTCCACCTGGCCTTCAGTTTGAATTAGCCTGATCCTCTATTCCCCATTTCCCTTTCCTCTTCTATGAAGAAACCCTTTCTGGGACCCCACATTTAAATTCTTCCCTGATCTCCTTGCTGGTCCTAACAGGACCAACTTGGCCAGTTAGCCCTGGTTATCATTTGATGTCTACTGACTGCCTCCCCCAAACAAACCCTGAATTTTATTAATATTGATGCTGTATTTTATGTTGTATTTTATGCTGTTTTATGCTGTCTTTAAGTCGCATTTTAATCAGTGTTTTATATTTCCTGTTAGCTGCCCTGAGCCCGGTTTTTAAAACGGGAAGGGCAGGGTATAAATAAAAAATTATTATTATTATTATTATTGATTATTTTGGATGCCTTTTGAACTAACTCCTCCCACTGAGGCACACCAATGACTCTTTCTGAACAAGAAGGGGTATACAGTATGGGTCTTTTTTTTTTTTTACCAGTTGACCCTTCCTGGTGCTAAAGCTCAGTGGTAGAGCTCAGTGGTTCATTTCCTAATGGCATCTCCAGTTAGGGCTGGGAGAGACTCTGAAACCCTGGACAGCCACTGCTGCCAATCAGTGCAGACAGTATTGAGCTAGATGGGCCCAATGGTCTAACTTTGTGTAAGGCAGCTTCCTATGTTTCTGGGATGGTCCACAGCTCAGTGGTAGATCCCCTAGTAAACAAACAAATAAACAGCCAAGCAAATAAGACTGCAAAACAAGAGGAATATTATGTAAGGTGAGGGGGGGCACACGGCTGGCCACTCTGAATGTGCTCTTTCGATAGGCAGTTATCAGAACATACACAACCAGCAATGGGTATTGCATACAGCAGCTTCTGCAGCTCCAGGGCAGTGGCGTAGCATGGGGGTGCAGGGGGGGCCGGTCGCACCGGGCGCAACATCTGGGGGTTAGGGGGTGCAAATCCACAGGTTAGGGGGCGCAAATCCACGGGTTAGGGTGCAAATTACTTGCCTTACCCCAGGTGCTGACAACCCACGCTACGCCACTGCTCCAGAGTGACTGGTCAGGAGCTGTTGCCAACCCCCCATTCTCAAATCAGCACCGACGTATATTATCATCTTTCAAATAATAATAAAAAAGCAATGGTCTGATAGGTTGTTCTTCCACCACCACCATCCCCCAAATCTGGAGTCCTTTATAAGTGCAGAACCCAGATCCAGCCATAATCCCAATACTTTCTTTCATTCATGCATGCTTAAGGGAAAACACACAGATCTATCTAAACAAGAAAGGAGAAAGGGGGGGGAGGGAAGGATGGAGGCTTAGCTACCAGCCATCTCCGCGCGCCCCCCCACCCCTCGCTTGCCCGCCGCTCCCAACAAGCAGCCAAAGCAAAGTTTCTCTAGTCCTGGGAATCCACTCCCGGCTCACGGATTCAGCTCCAGCTGTCAAAACCCAGGTCAATATATGTTAATGAGGCTTTGAAATTCCTGAGCAGAGGGAGTCACTTTTAGACTTCCTAAGACCTTCATAATTCACGGTTATTCTCTAGCGCTTTCCCCCGGTGCTTTAAGAGAGAACGGGGTGGGCAGGGGGGAGGAGGAGAGACGGAGTGAGGAAAATATATTTAACAAGAGAAAGAGCGAAAGGGGCTTAAATTATAAATGAGGGCTAAGTTTCCAGAACCTTTTGCAGAGTGTTTGTACAGACAAATTAGCAGAGCCGGAAAGCGCCGTCGAAGGAGACAGCAGGTGCATACCAGTGTAGCGTGGGGCGATTTCTACCCGTTAAAAAAAAAAAGTGTGGGGTGTGGGGTGCATAGACTACAAAGGTGGCTAGTCCAGTTCGAGGTCAGCCACCTCTGCTGCCTAATCACGAGGTGGTTTCTT